CAGATTGAAGCTCGTCAAATTGGTTATAGTGAGGAATATGTGCAGAGGCCGTCGGCCTAACGCTCCCTCTCTCTTCGCACTTCGAGACAGCAGTCCAGTGTCCCAGTCGGTCAGTCATCTGATGGGGAACTTGGCGTATATGCTGACCAAGCTGGAGTGCTCGTTTGCCCGTGCTACACCCAAAACCTGACCTCCGCACACACACATACACACGCAATCTACCAGAGCTTCACGGAAAATGGGTGAGCGGCGTGAGTATTTCATCTGTGGTTTGCCGCACTAGACATTATATGGCTAACATTAGGGCTGACACGGATAGAGCAGGTGTCTATTGGCCCCTGACATAGGACCGATGACTCCATAAAAAAGGCGTCTGGAGGGCTGCACTCTCAAATGTTTGTTCTTGGCTTCAGACCACATCTCTGAGTAAACCACTGGGCAAACCCTAAACATCTCTTTTGTCGGAAATTAGGACGCAATGAGCACGGTGGTGTTTACCGACAAATGTTGAGATTGAAAAGACAGGATGCGGCAAGTTACTCATCTATAGGAGACTCCACTACCCATTTCCAAGAACATGCAGTTTAGTGTCGCCAAAAAACTGCTATTAAAATCTTCATTTCTCTTTTTGATTATCTTAAAGTTTGCTGGTTCTAACGACAGACTGCACTGGTATATGCCGTACCGCAAGACACAAAAAGTAACCCGTTTCAGTGGAATAAAGGGGGACATTTTTATAGCAAGTTAGTTTAGCGTATTGCTCTTGTGCCGCGTTAGAGGAAGGTGGAACAAAAATGGTCTATGACTTATTCACACAGAATTTCTTCCCAAGGCGCTGTGACATGGAAGGGGGAAAATTGTTTATTCCAGTGTGTACATACGTTTGGCGCATGATTGAAAACAAAATCCGACAGAAAAGTAAACATTGAGAAATACGACAAAATGACCTTTTGACCGCACATTTTGGCTGCATTTTACGACAACTGGTCAGTCACCCATACCACTTTGTGATAAGGAAGTTTACCTTACATCTCAGACATTTAAATTCATGCGTTCT